GAGAAGTTTGAATGTTGAACAAATTTTTTTTTATAACTGGTATGCTGGGAGTTGTTTCCAGAAATGTCGTAGACTTGCGATATCATAACTCCACGACAGTCGTAGGAATAGTTGTAAACAGAATTATAAGGAAACGGCAATGGTTAGTTAAGCTCAAATCAGCACAAGATCGCATACCTTTGTGAAAATAACCTAAACAGACAGGGCAAAACTCAATAGCTACCAATCAAGGCTACAAAAACCAAGGTGTGAGAAACAACCAGTACACCAACAGAGACATTTGAAAACAACCTGTGCACTGAACTTGAATCAAGGCATGGGACTACAATTCGGATCCAAGTTATTAAAAAGTTATTAACAAAAGAAACTTATTGCTGGAAATCTATTAAGGTTCCTGTTGTTGCATTATTCCATCCAAGGAGCACCTATCTTGTCATCCAATCATTTAAATACAGGTTCATATAAATCATTACCAAAAAGAGGTCATCTAATGCAACAAATAACTCAAACTCAGACACACTGAGGCTAAACATGTTCCAACTGATCAATCCAGTCCAGATGTTCCTCCTGAATCCAACAATAGGAATCATTCGGAGAGAAGTAACAATGATACAGTGTTTGGATTTACACCAAATATGACTGACTCCTCCTCGTACCATCTGAAGTCGAAATTAGGTATATTGGAAAGTTTACGCAAACAATCTTGTTCTTTAGAAATGGCACCTACCCAATTTGAATCCTCTGATGTTATATTTGCACTCATTACATCTCTGAAAGAACCCCTTGGGCCCTGGAACAGAAATTAAACTTCAATTCAGAAATGGCACATTAGCATCTTATAATGTACATATCAAAAATATTAATACCACCTGGCAATGTGATATAAAGATAAGACAAAAGCTGATAGAGAGTTTATGTATTCCAACTAATTTAACAGTCAATGTACAAACCTTCACAAGTGCTATTACCGAAATGATTTTGCCAAAGATCAAGAGTATAGCAATATGTCCAGGTATTACTGATGAAGATAAAGTCAAAGACTTCCAATCTAAACAAATATCCAGGGCAAAACCTACGATAACCTGATCAATGAAACAATAGCACAGATAACAAGTATAAGAAGTACTGACTAAGAATATGTGCCCAAATCTACTAAAACAGATCTTTGTAGCTCTTATTATGATGCAAAACGAAAGTCACTAAGAAAAGTGGTTAAAGTAAAAGATTATCAGCATAACATGACAGTTATTCTGTGCTAACATATCAAGAAATGTTAGAGAAGTCGCGTTATTTGACTAATAAAAACAAGAATCTTATCAAGAAATTAATACAACAAAAATACAAGAGATACAAGAAACAATACAACCAAGAATGATTTTGACCCTGAAAAATGCATTATCTGCCAGGAGGTTGGAAGTACTACTACAGGTTAGGAATGATGTCCAAGTGCTGATTCACAGTTGTGAATCCACTGAATGTGAGGGTGACAAATATGCTACCTCTGAAAAACTTGCTCATATGTGATACAGTGGATGCATAGAAAATTACAATCAAGGAAGAACAGTGCAAGTTTTGAGAGTGATAAGTTATTTTTGGGTGATGTAGGAATAGACTTTTTGAGTGATGAGGAGGAGGGTCCAAATGATTCAATTAGATTCACGCTTACATACCCGTTTAGAAGTCATCACATTGAGAAGAAAATAAAAAACCGGCTAAAAAAGTTTTATGTTGTTTTTAAGACTTATTGTGTTCTAGACAGTTGGTTATTCTTTGGTTGTCCTGTTGATTTTCTCTATTTCTTGGTCAAACTGTGCTCATGATTAGGTCTCAAAATATATCTAAATAAAATATATAAGTTATATGAGCATCTAAATAAGGACATTACTGATTGCCCAGGAGAAAAATCTGGATGGTCTGATCTCTAATGAATCTCAACTTTTATTTGAAAATGGTGGGAAATTTGAGAAGTTAAATAAAAAATCACCCACTGGGTCAGCTAGTCAATGCAGCATACATATCCAAGGTGAATGTACATTTACTATTAATCTTAATTTTTTTTTTTTATTTCGATAGAATTTATTATAAAGATTATAATTTAGAACTAATGTGCTTTGAATGTTAAACATCAAAAGAATATTTCATCGTTTCAACAAAGTGGTAATATAACAAAATCTCTCAAAAACAAAAGAAGCCTTTACAGGTTGAAAGAATAATGATCAATTTTATTCACTTTTAACTTACGATAATTTAATAATATCATTGTATGGTTATTTTTAAATTTGAAAAATTTAAGGTTATTTAATTTTTGTTACTTTTGAAAATAAGGATACCAAAGCCAAGACACAGCTGCCCTTGCAAACCTATGCAGACAAAGACCATGCACCATTCCCAGAGGTTGCTTTCAAACCAGCTTGCAGACCTAGGGTTCAGCTTTGACAGATGACCAGTTTGAATTCATGACTGTAATCTTTTCTCTCTTCAATGATGAAATTCTAAATCTCAACAACTTTGCTCGGCGTGAAAACGATTCAAAAAATGCTTTACAAAGAAGAAAAATGTAGTAATTTAATGGTTAAACTACTATCGTTGGGAGTCCGACACACTGTGGGGATGGAGAAAGTAGAGAGGAAGGTAAGTGTAAGAGATGCTAAGAAGAAGACGGAAAAGAGGAAGCGGGAAGAAGATTTGATAGAGGAAATAATTTACCATATGGTAAGGAACCCCTGCCTACATCTTCTGTCAATTTTGGAAAGCAACACCTTCAAGGAATGGTCATTTCACATTGCACAGGGCTAAAATTCTTTGCAGTCTTATCTCAGACGTAGGCCTACATTTATCTACCTGGTCAATATCAGAAGCATATCATTTGAGCAAGTAGAAACAAGAGAGTTTTCAACTGTGGTGCCATGAGTGGAGAACAATTGTGCATTGACAAGAATTAAATACATTCTACTTTCAAAGGTGTTTGGGCAGACAATGGCCAACAAAAACAAAAAATGAGAGGAAAATGTAGTATACCAATGTGCAATTTTACTACTATAGTATAGTACTACTATACTCATTAGCATGGCACATTGTTTTATTACACTTTCATTAGTAGGTATGGCCACCAACATACATGTGTGTGATTTTTGTTGGAAGTTTTATATGTGCCCACTTTATAAAACACTTTCTTATGAGAATTTGGCCAGTGAGCGACCAACTTTAAAATGGTAGCCATTTTTATGTGTGCCATTTTATGATTTTTGGTATTAATGAAAAAGTAGTAGAAGGATTTTGTAAAAATGACAGCCATGACTAATTGATTGGATTTGCTATGTGCTTTGGCGTTGCTGTCACCTAGTTATTAAACATTTGTGTTTTGTCCAGGCTCTAACTATTGTAAATATTGAAAGAGATCGGGTCATCCCGGACAATCCGTAATGTCCCAATATGATTGCTCTAATCATCTTACATACCTTAGATATATTTTGAGACCAAATCATGAACAGGTTGACCAATATATCGAGAAAATCAACAGGACAACCAACTAAACCCAATCAGTCTAAAACAAGATACATTTTTTTTCTATTTATCTATATTTTCTATTTATCTATATTTTAAAACCGTCATAAGTAATAATAAATATCAAGTGCTAATATAAGAGTAAAAAAAAATATGTTGTTGTGGTTAAAAAGAAAAAAACACGATCACTATATGTTGGGAAGGTCAAATTCTTTTTCCATTTCTCTATGATGTAGGCCTACAAGTATTCAATTAAGCTATAAATAACAGTGACATAGTGATTAGTGACATCATAGGAATTTATATCATGAACAAATATTTTATGTCATATCACATAATCAGATTTCCTGAGTCCGTCATCTGGCTTACAATAGTAAGAGCACTTTTCATTTTTAAATGTACCACTTTAAAAAGTCTTGAAATCTTGAAAGTCTTTGAATTAAGGTATGCCACTGGTCCCATATTTGGACATTTGGTATGGCATTAGTCCTACATTTTGACATTTGGTATGGCATTGGTCCCATAATTGGACATTTGTTATGGCATTGGTCCTATATTTGGACATTTGGTATGGCCTTTGGGCGTTATTTTGGTTGGTATGGGAACATATTGAAATTTGACAGATTGGTATGGGAACATATTGATATTTGAGGCTTCAGCCTAGGACCCCCGTTTTGTTTTATATACGGTGAACCCTCCGGGACCTGTATTACACTCAAATTGAAGAAATATTAAAGTAATCACTATTAACCTTTACCATGCTGCCTTATTTCAGCAAATATATCCCACGCAACTGGCTTATTTTTCAAAGAGTGCAAAAAATGATATGCCTGGACTAAATAATTAATATCTCAATAACTACTGAATGAATCTGGATAAAATTTTCACAAAGGGAAGATACAGTGGCCTGGCTCATGAAAAAAAATGCTCTCATGAATTTTTTCGTACATTAACACGACTGGGCATAAATATACCATGAATACTCCTCCGGAATCCGCCGCTCCGCCTCTTCGTCGGGTCAGAATCCAAATCTGAATTTGCAGCGATCGAATGTTCAATTTTTCAATTCAGAAAATATTCTAGTTTCTATTTTCGATGACCGTTATCGGCTTCCAAGAGCCTAAAGAGCTCGAAATCGTAATCCATTTCCTCCACATTTTCGTTGTGATCGTATTTGTCCACCATTTTGTACGATTCGTTCACTAAAAACGACTAAAACACTGTTTAAATTGTTGAATTGAGAATTATTTTTCGAAATATCGCCATTTCTAGGTCAACAGGAAGTCATGTTAGGCACTGAATAAATCGGGCAATCTAATTGGACAATACGAATGGCGCGAAAAAGTAAAGTTTTTAAAAGTTTGAAATCGGGCGTACGGGTCCGCCGGCAGTTGTGAGAGACATTTTAGTCTCGGCGGACGAGTCCGCCGGCAGCACGCTAAAGGTTAATATTGTTTTTTTTCTGATTCATGCCTCAGAAAATTTAAAATGACTACCTGAAGCTGAGGTTTGCTATAAATTAAAAATTTGTTCAAAGTATGGTTACATTTTTCAGGTGCTCCAATACTGCAGAGAATGAGACTGATGAAGATGAAGATAACTATAGTACATATCATATGTACCCTTATTTACAATATTATGGATTAAATCATTTTTATATTTGTATATAAACCCAGTGAAAACCATGTGCAAGTCCTTGGCCAAGGTACTCCAGAAAAAACCAGCTTGGTCCCGGAAATATATTCTTGGACCAAGCTGCAAGCTTTGTATGTACTCTAGAAAAAACCAGCTTGGTCCCAGAAATACCTTCTTGGACCAAGCTGCAAGCTTTGTATCACTCAAGACTGGTTTGAAAATGTGAGCTCTAGAAAAGTATTCACTGTAAGTCAAAGTCATGAACGAATGATGAAGCAAAGAAAGTGATTAAAATGTAGGTTAGCTCAATCAAACATAGAAATGAAACAAAACTAAATAGGCATAAGGTGACAAACACGTCCCTTTAGAAGGAGAATGCTTTATTGAAAACAGAGAGAGAATGTCGGTAGATATGTTGGCAGATTCAGATACATATCATTTACATATGGGAATGTATGAACCAATCAGAAGATAATAAGATTTTTGTAAATATTAATAAATCTGGCATATTTTCTCACAGAATGTTAATTTACTAATTATACATACACTGTACATAAATGTCAACATGTTACTTTTAATATTGAGCATTCTATGGTAACCTTAGCAACCCAAGTCGAGGGTACAAGGAGCAGTCAAAAAGAAAGGAAATGGTGTGATGTTTTCTTTCTTAATAGTTTTGTACTTTGGGAATACCACCATATTTTGTTACATTCAATGCATTGTTTTTGCCATAAATCGAACAACAATGGTCCACACGACCTGTAATAAATAGGTATAAGGTACATTATTATCACAATAGTAATGACATTGCTCACTTTTAAAGTTAGTTTCCATGCTAATAACGTTTCCAAAAATAAAAGAAATAAATTAATATCGGATGGAGGGGGGATTTATATATCTTTACGATGGAGCAAATTCACAAGAACTTGTGTATTTAAAAAAACAAAACTCTGTACCCCATTTAGAAACTGGATATTATATCTCTGGAGATTGAAAAATGGGAAAACTAAGAATAAATTCAAGTAGGCTAGCATGTCTTGCAAACACGTTTATCCCCCCCTCCATCCGATCCCCCCCCCTCCATCCGATATTAATTTATTTCGATTGTTGCTCTTTAACAAAACATGTTGGAGAGTAGAATTAGCTTTATAGATTATGGTCCCTTTTATTTGGCATTTGTGCTTAGATATTCATGTTATTTGGACAAAAAGAAAGTTTTTCAATACAAAATTAATCCTTTCCAAACATAATGTTTTAACAATTTACTGTGAGAACACAGGCACATGGGTCCTTTATTACATGTTTTTGATCTCCTACCGGAATAATAGTTTTGTTAAATAAAGAATTGGCAGTAGATATAAAATATCCTTTTTTATTTTCAGCATTGTCTACATTGCCAACAAATTGTTGCAAGATGCAGGCTCTTTGACAGATGCTGTTAACACAAATATCCCAAACAACCTTCACTATGTGTTCAACAAAGGAAATAAACAAGCTAGACGGCGATGGATCGATTATGTTAAACAATTGATAGGCACATTTCTCCTGTAAGTACAAATCATTTAAGTTAGGGTTTGTACTGGCCCTTATTTTGCAAAATTACATTGTATTCATTGCTTTTTCTATTGTGAAGTTAGACCACTTTTCATGTCCCCACCACATAGTGTGGGGCCATATTGTCGGCCTGGGCACGTCTGTCCATCTGTCTGTCTGTCCAGAAAATGCATAATTGACAATATTGATAATTAACATTGCATCAAACTGTACCAGGGGAACAAGTTGCAACAACGGCAACAGAATATTCGGAAGTAAAACTTCGAAATGACATTATCAAGATATAGATCTATATAGATTTCAAATCATTTTAATTATGACCGTATACATGTATACAATTTAAGAAATACAGGGTGTTTCAAAAAAATACAACCCACCTTTTATGTTATAACCCTGTAAATATTAGTATTTATTTTTCATTTTTCAGGTGAAAAGACTCCATTCAATGTTCTTCCAGAAAACATTAATAACTGTAGCTAGTCATAAGTAGACAATACGGCATGGTCAACTGAAGTCAGGACCTATTGTGTCGAAAAATATTTAAAAACGGGTTCTTTCAAAAAGATACAATATGCATTTAAAAGAGAGCATCATGTGAGAAATGGTCCAAACAAGTCTTTGATTTACAGGTGGGCTAAGAAATTTAGAAACTGAACTGAACTTAGGAACTGTAAAAAATCTAAATGCTAAAAGCAATGACTAGACAAAAACAGTAAAACAGAAATTGACTGAAAGAGATATGGAACCCCAGGAATCCATGAATGAGTGGTTTCCTCAAAGAATAGAGGATGTGACTATGACTATAAATCGGAGACGATTTCGAAAGTTGAGGGATGGCAGGAAAGAAGCCGGCAAAACTGGGGGGGGGGGTTCATTAGGACTTTGAAATTGTCTCTCATTTAACCAATCATGATCATGATATCAATATTCAACGCCTCATATCTTTCAATGTTCAAGCCAAGGTAATTGTTTCAAACCTTGTGGAGAACGACAATCACATCCAGTCGTCTCTATGGCATGCCGTTTCTGATCCACTAGAGTATTACCCACAAACCAAAGACTATCTTCATCAACTGTGTTGCTTTATCCATGCCGTACGACACATCAGCAGCCTTGGAATCCTCCACAACAATGCTCTACATGTGGCAATTGTCTGCCGATGGATGACAGGAGGGAGAATGTTTGTTGCAGATCTTTTCCACAGATAAGGGCCCTTAATGAACAGTTCTTCCAGCTGAAGGAGACGCCACATATTCATAGATGCATCACTATTAATCCTGGCTTTCTTGGTTTATGCACTAACAGACTAAATCTAGATGCAGCTATAAAAGGCAATATCCTAATTGATTCAATGGACCAATTGATCGACATAAGCGCCATGTGGCATACAGACAGCTTGTTCAAGCTGCTTGGGGTATCTTGGGTCCCCAAGTAAGAATGGTCCTACCTTCATGTGCTGGACTCTTCATCAGAGCTCACTATCCTACTCCAAAACAACATGAAGAACTGAAAAATCAATGCTATCGACAGCTCAGAATCTGAAAGCTCACAGTCTCAGGAGTATTAATACCATGTTACTTGGATACAAAGTAATCAAAATTCTATTTTGACTTTTCACATGTTTAGACTTTTAGATACAGTTAATCTAGTGTTATACAAGTATTGTTGTAGAGACAGTTCTACATTGTTTAACAACACTTTTGTATTTCAAAAAGTTATCAATGTATTTAAAATTTAGAAGTGGAAATGCAATAATATGACTTTGCATATGAATGATTTGTTTATTTTTACACCTTGTACTATTGAAATGGCCATATGCCCCTGAAAACTTTACTTGGTATAGGATAAAGCAGTTATGTACGGTCGGTTTGGATATGGGGTTCATCCGTCGTGAGATATACACATCTACCATTCTATCATAGAATCATCACTCTTTTCGAACATATTTGTAGATAATGGAAGTCCAATATGAATTAAGAAGAAGCTGCCATTAGAGAACATTTTAACAACTTCTTATCCACAAGCAAACGACGAGGTGAAAACCTAGGGAAGAATGATATTGTGATCATCAGAGACATTCGTCTCAAACACAGTTGATCAGCTGTTCACAACGTTTGAGGACTGAAAAATAGGCTGAGTATAAACAATACCGGGAACATCACTAGGCATAACAGTTAGCGTAAAAGTATGACATGTCTTATGGCCCTGCATAGAAGGCTACTAAGGAATCCAAATAATAAACGAAGCCGGATCTACATTGCGTTCAACATGTTGAATTATTGACGCACACCTCATTTATAAGAGGCATTAAGTGATGTACATACTTGGACACTTTAGAAAAGGTTTAAATGCCTCAATTATCCAGCAACTACACCCTCTTTAGGTGTTGTAGTAGCTTTGGAAATATCTCATAATTATATGTTCGTCAATAGGCCCTGTTTGTGTATGAACCCATTGTTTCTATGGGCATGTACTAAAATGTTGTCTTTATTGTATTGCTGTCTACGGGATAATATCAAGTGATAATATCTCAAATTGAAATTGAATTCATCAACACTAGCTGAAGTATATTTTTTCTAAATTAATTTAAATGTAACATTCAATTTTAACCACCAATTTCATCAAAAATACAAAAGTAACAAAAACTAAATAATTTATTAAATACAAAATAATATTACATGTTTTAACTTCGAAATATATATTATATTGGTTCTCAAAGAAAAAGTTAAGGGGAATGTTAAACATTATTCATTTTCACTTAAGAATAAAAACAAAAAATAAAAACATTCAACAAGACACTAAATACCATATAAAAGCTACTGTCCAATCAACACACAGATCATTATTTCAACCAATCAGAATGCAGCATGATCACTATATAATAACAGTCAATTACAGAACAATTATTACACAATCTCATACAAGAAAAAACATATCTAAAAGAATGTTTAGAGGGCCTGCAGAGACTGAGAGACCATAACATAGAAATTCTCAAAGCAAAGCAACCTCAAGCCTCAACACAATCCAACAGTAGATACATGAGCTGCAACATCAACTACAAGAGATAGTTGAGATTAAAATAAGAATTGAAGCTGTCACCAACACCTTACACACCATTGAAGATACAATACTTGGCCTAATGAACCTGTAACCAAAAACAATGGACTACCAATTCTTCAAAAAGAGATTTACAAATTTATGAATTTTGCACATTATATATTGATTAATTTTTTCTTCTTTTCAGGAAACCCCAATTGGGGCAAATGATCATTTCTACCAATTGGACTAATAATTAACAGCCATTTGTAGATATGATTTTTTGAAATTAAATAAGCATCATAAAAATTCTTCATTAGATATTGTTTAACAACATATCTTCAAGAATCAATATCCAATCATACATAGTCATCAAACTATAAGCCCCAGAAGAATATAAATATCATGAATATCATAACCCTTACACATTAGTTTCTAATGATAAGTACACAAACACTTAAATACTATTCATTGCAAAACTATTACATATATCATCATTGTCAGTTTCAAAAATCTAAACTCCAAAAAAACATAATTTTTAACTTAATTTCAAAATTCATTTTCAAATCAACATAACCATCGATAAATGACTTCAATTTCAAAAACATTAATTACTCTTTTACCAAAATACACAAAAATTTACGAGGCGCCATTTTAT